TTTTTTTTTTCATGGCCGCGGACCGCGGACACGTCCGCGGGGTCGCGGCCTAGGCCGCGGCCGCGGACTTGTCCGCGGATGGCCGCCGCCGAGGGGGATTGTCCGCGGATGGCCGCCGCCGAGGGGGATTTGTAGGCTCCTGCCAGGCCACCCAACAAATCGAGCCCTCCTGGCCTCCGCCACTGCGTTATTAGACCACAGGATAGCGTGTACTGCCAAAGTTTCTCGGATAGCGAAAAAAGGTTCTCAGATACCGAAATGTCCGCCTTATCTTGGTATTCGGTATCATGGTTTCTGCGGATTTTCTGAATGGCTTACTAGCTTTCTCATGCATTACATTGAATTTCCAGTTATTCTCAGCCTAAGACTGGTAATGGACCCAGTATGATCTTAAATTGCTCTGTATATTTCCATATGGGACGTTGGGGTCGGTTCCCAGTACCTGCTGCTCCACACTCCCAGTACGTGCTGCTCCACACGAATGGATCGGAGCATTGTTCCCATTGAAAACAAGTTAAACCAAGAAAAAAGAAAAGAGAAAAATTCATAAAATGTCTCATTTCAAGACTGACTCATTTGTTCATGTGAATCCCACTCAGCACTAGTGCAACCTTTTGAATTGCCGTTGATTCATCCATGATTCCCTTCAAAAAAATTGTGTTAAACTTTGAAAGACCTAGGATCCACATGGCAGAACTGTGTGTGTGTACAACTCGTGAGTGGCGAATATCTTGTGGTCCGCTGAATAGGAGATGGGTGTGGGGCCTGTGGGCTGGTACCGACTTTGGTCAACTTTATTGCATCGCATGTTTCAAGCAGTGGGTTCACCAGACCTTCCAGGCTGATGGATGTGGTAGTCATACTAGTACATTCTCAGCTGGGGTGCTGCTGGCTTTATGGTTTCAGAAGTGCTTGTTTTGTCCTCCTCAAGCAGCTTTCGATTGCCCGAAGAAGAGTGAATGGATTGTGCAGCAGGTCCTCCTCTGGGCACATCATCTGCCCAAGTAGCATACGATGCGGGTTGGAAACCCGAAAAGTACGCCGACGTGTGATACGCAACCTCACGCCCCCTCGCGCTGTCCCGTACGGGGTCGCTGATCAGAGTTCTAGGAGGGGCGTGGCCGAGGATTTTTGGCCGTAAGGGTTGAGTCTCCCGGACGGAACGGGAGGCCCTCGTTTCGTGCCAGAGGTTTTCCCCCGGAGTCGAACTGTCGTCGCGAAGTCCCGTGGGGGTCGGATCACTCCGAAACGATAAAATCAGAAGGGTTTCCGCAAAAACGAATTGCCGTCGTGCATCAGGACGGAAAAAGACATCAAGGGGAGAGGGCCATGGCGGCGGAAGACAAAAACTCCGACCGTCATGGGTTTGGGGGATAGGTGGTGGGTTCGAAGCCGTCAGGTCTCGTCATCGGCCTCACGAAGTGACTGGGCCATCGGGTTTTTGCCGTAGAGGTGGTTGGTTCGAGGTCTTCAAGCCTCGACGTCGGACTCGCAAAGTCCGCGCGGAAGTTTCCAAGAGGGTGATGAAACGGCGGGAGGACTCGCCGGCATCCGAATTCGAAATTGCGCGGGCAGCGCCCCCGCATCACGGGATAGCTCGGGGAAACGTGTCGCTCCCTCGTAACCCAGGACCAAGCGTCGCCACGCCCACGAGTCCCCCTGGCGACACCAACGACAATCAAACTGCGGCCGCCACGCGGCGTGGGCAGCCAACCAGGGCAACACAGTCAAACCTGTATAAGGCAATATTAGAGTCGGGGAATCAAAATGCTCAATCAAGACAGACAAACCCGCTCCCCCTTATATCACAAGCCCGAGGCGGGTCTCACCAACACAGTTGCTCCGTTCGCCTCAGCGCGCGCCGTACGTCCGCATCGCAGTAGACGCTGTCGTCATCTGTGATGGGGAAGGTCGGCAGCGAGATGAGACGATCGGAGGTAGGCGATGAACACGGGCAAGATCCCGCGCTCTCGGTCATCCGAACCAACATCGACTCCATACAACACTCGATGTAACCTTCTCTCTCTGGGTTTAACTTAGTGCGTCGGAGGAAGACGGCGGAGCCAAAGCTCTCTTCCCCTTGCGGGGGCGTCAACCGCGTGCGCGGACGCAGGCGGTTGACGTCACCGGTACGGGGACGAGAAGCTCAAAAAGCGATGGCTATCCGTTCAAAAAGGAAGGTGGGAGAGAGAGGGAGATAGAGAGAGTGAGTTTTCATCGAGAATGCGCGGGCGCGCACGAAGGGCCGCGGAAGGGAGGGGAACAACGGGATTAACACACTCATACTCCTAAGCAGACGGTCCCCCGGTTTTGTTCCTCCGTCCCCGCCCGGATAAGTACATACATACATACAGGCAGGCAATCAACAACCCTCGGCAGGACATCCAATCATCGGATTCCATAGACCTTTGACATCACTCATGCGCCCAACAAGCTCCCATCACTCGGGGCCTCACACACACGTCATGCATAGACAAAGCAGCAATGGAGACATAAGCGAGTCCTTCTTGTACACAAAAATTCTCAATTAGCGGCCGCCCCAAGGCGCCGCCTTCAAAACTTCCCAAGACCACCGACCACCATAGCCACAAGGCCCTGCCGCGGCCGGCGTCCAATCCCCACCACTGCTCAGTACCTCCGACTGCATCGCCCCGAGACTACCGCGGGCCCACCCCACGTCGTCACTCCGCCCGTCCTTGGGCTCGTCGAGCCTGTTCGGCGTCGCGGACTTCGCGCATAGCTCGCGCAGCATTGCAGCCGAGATCAAAGAGAGAGAGAGGAGAGGGTTGCGCGAATTTATAGCGTGGGAGGCGGCGGGTTGTCAGCGCGAGGTGCGAGCAGCGCATGTTGTAGATGGGCAGAACAGGAGGGAGGTGGGGAGTTAGAGGGTTCGACCCGCGGGATGGCATGGTCCTGCGTGATTGGGGTGTCCGTTCAAGTGGCGCGCGGTTTCCCGCTCTCCACATTGATCTGAGCATCCCAACTATGCGGCCAATCACTTCGCGGCGTAAGGATCGAGCTGGGCGGAGGGGAAGACGAAGAGTCCAGCATGGGGAAAAATGCGCGCAGCAAGAAGGGAAGATGGCGCGGGGATGCAAAGCAAGAAACGGGGATGCGAGATGCGCGAAGAAATCGGAGCTTAGGCGTGCGCGCGCAAAAAATTCAAAAAGTTCCAACCGAAACCGTTTCTTGCTTTTCATACCGCGACCGCTATTCGCCCGCGCGGGAGTTATTAACCAAACAAAATGAAAAAGCCGTTTCAAAAAGAAAACAAAAGCAAAAAGAAAGAAAACCCCCTTTCTGTCCGTGTCCGTACTTCGGGGCTTTCGCGGGATTTTTCCTCAGGGATACGGGAAGCCGCGCGGTACGGGTCTGAGCTTATCACATCTGTGATACGCAGGGGGTTCCRAAAAATTAGCAGTCTCCCGACTGCTAAGGTCCTTATGTCTTAGATGATCGGGCGGCCTCTTCATCGTCAGCTGGCCCGATCATCTTCCTAATCTACGTGGATGCATCTTGCATCCTCCATCGCCTCCTCCCATAGTATACACCCGGTCGGGCGGCCCCTTCATCGTCAGCTGGGCCGATCGCGAAATTTATTTATTTATTTATTTATTTATTTATTTATTTATTTTATTTTTTTTTATTATTATTTTTTTTTACACAGCGCGTCTCGACGCGCGAACTTTGGGCATAGGAGAAGAAGATGATGAAGAGAAGGAGAAGGAGAGAAGCGGGGAGAGGTAGACGAGGGTGATCAGAGGAAGTGATCGATGTCGGGATTGAGAGGGGGCGGAATAGGTGGAAGAAAAGCGGCCATTGCCGCGGGAGTCGTCGGCGCATCTTCCTGCTGGAAGTGGTGTTGGACGAACGAGGGATAGAGGAACCCCCCCGGCACATGAGACAGGACACGTGGCGCCAGATCCGCCACCGCTCGCACCACCCGCTTGCGCACCGACCGGGGCCCTGGACCCGTCATCACCACATGAGTCTCGGTGTAAGGCCGCCGCTCCCGTTTCTGCGCCGCGAAGACGAGGAAGTGGTACATCGCATTGGGACGTTGCCCGGTCTCGTAGATGAGCGTCCCAGCCAATCGCGCCGCAATACACCCTTGAAAAGGGGGTGTCAGATATGGCTCCCATGCCGGATCAGGGCGCGACGCCCCCGCGATGGCCTCGAGCCTGATGGTGGCAGGCTCCACCATGAAGTCCACCTCTGTCGGATGGACCGTCCGGCTCGGAGGAACTACTAATGTCAATGACCGGGGCACCCCGGGGTGGCTGGCGGGAACGGAGAGGTCCCGCGAGGACGGGGGGTCTGGATATGGGATCCGGAAATCCCCTTCGGCTTCCTCCTCCGGCTGCTGCTGATGATGATGGCCCAGCTCCATCAAGATTGAGATCGGGCACATGCGGAAAGGGCGGCGATGGCACAACGGTCTCCTTAACGAGCGTCGTCGCACTCCCAGGCACGGGGTCAGGATTCCTCGTACGGGCGGGCTGAATCACCTCCTCGCCGCCGCCGATCCTGCTGCCTTGCGCTCCTGGCGACGGGTGGCGTCTCTTCCTCTTCGGCGTCTTCTTGGGGGCTTTCGGTGGCGCCGGTCGAGGATACGACGAGGGAGGCCACAACGGCTTTTCCTCCGGGAAGTCCTCCAACCTCTCCGCGCGCTGCGCAATGTAATCCGGGATGACGACCTCGTTGTACGTTCTCCGTGGGGCCGTCGCCGTCCGCAATCGTGGTTGGATCTCCTCCTCCTTGCTCGCGATCACTTGCGCAATGGAGAGGAGCTCAAGATGTATGAGCTCCAACAATCCCGGATCGATCGTCTGGAGCTGGGCGAATGGGTACAGCGCCACCGTCCCTTCTTTCTCCGCTGGCTTGGGCCGTGTGATGACGCAGTAGACAACGAAGTGCTCCCCGATGCTGTGGTCTTCGTGATCCCCGAAGAATCGGAACATCCCCAGCGCCATCGACTTGCACAGCGCACGGTGCAACTCCCACGGGTCTTCGTCGGCGAAGGGCACCGGCTCCACGTCAGTTAGCTCCACCAAATACTCCGAGAACTCGCGCATGGGATAAGGGCCCTCCGTGAGCTGATAGGGGAGGGTGGTGTAGGAGAAGAAGGGAGGCATTTAGTACAGGACAGGGGGAATAGCTTGGAAGTTGAGAGGAGCAGCGGGAGGAAGAAGCGCGGGGAGCTGTGGCACCAACGCGATTGGTCCGTCCTCTGCCCTGCGCAGCAGCACTTCGTGGACTGTGAATCGGTGCCCCCCCCGTCCTTGCAATCTGGCCACTGATCTGGCCGCTTCCACCGCGTATTTGCGCACAAAGCTTCGCGCCGGCTCCCGGCTCGGGTGCGGTAGGATCGTCAGGTCTCCGATAAAGGTGGCGACGCTGTGCACGAAGTTGGGTGCCACCTGGAGCGTGCGGAACTCAATGAATACTCGAGTCGTCTCCCGGCCAGGCAACTGCGTCACGTCCACGTACACCCCCGCATACGTCAACCGATCGCAAAGCAACGAGTACGCCGCCAAATCAGCAACCCCGGGCGATGGCACGTTCACCTGCTGAATGTCGTACCGCAACTGCCTTTCCTCATTGAACCGATGCCGCAACAAGCGATCTGCAAGCGGCGTCTGGAAATGCTCGAGGGGCTCATGCTCCGGCTGGCGATGGTTCATCCTGCTCCCTGAAACTCTCAGCACCAATGG